CACACACACACACACACACACACACACACACACACATATATATCGAATGGTGGAGATAATATAACATTAACTATGAAAGTAAATAATTTAAATTATGTTATTTATTTCTTAGCTACATTTTATATGAATTAAAAAATTGAATAGTATGGAAGAATACATAATATATTATGCATAATACTCAGAAGTCTTGAAAATTACAATTGCTCTAACAGAAAAGTCAGAATATTTCTGGCTCTCCAAATTATATTCGAATTAAATGATATTAAATAAATAGAGATAAATTCTTACTGAAAGTATTGTAAGTTACGACTATGTCAATATTTCAAATAAAAAGCTTGTAATTCTCAAGTCTTCGATGATTATCTGTTTTATCCTTTTTCCTAATAATTAGATTCGAATTTTCAAAAATTTCTAGTATCAAAATTTAGGGATATATATCAAGTTAATATTTTATCGAATAATATACTAACAAAACTGCCTCTTAATGTTCAGGCAATTAAAACTATTCCAAGTTCCTTTTTATACCCGTGATAAAATAATTGTAAGTAGCATTTCAATTTATTAAAAATAGCAGTGATATAACGAAAATGTATTATTTATTTCTTGTAGTTTATGCATTGTAGATAAATAATTTTGTTGTTTAGTACAAATTAAGTATATGAAATAAAAAAAAAAATTATTAATTAATTTATTGTCAGTATACCAATAATTTATCAAGAGACAAATGTAATAATTACATATCATTCTGTAAAAATTTCTATTTCAAAATTGAATTATTACTTAGAATCTTTTTTATAAATGAAATAATTGGTTATAATGAAATGTAATTGTAGTATATTATTAATATTGTAATAAAAAGGTATATTTCTACAAGTAGTATATAACAAGTATAAGTGTACAAAATAAAATATGTAGAAAAAGTGTGAAAAAAAATATTTATATAACATAAGAAAAAAATTATATTTATTACTAATAGATGATAGTAATTAATTTGTCAGATAATAATTCATTCAAATTCTGATTGTGCCCTGAAAGAAAAAAAAAATAATGTTTTTATAATTATAATTACGTTTCATAGTATAAAATATCATTTGAACAATATTTTTGTGTTATTTATATTCGTTCAAATAATTTGAAGATATTTAATATGTACCTCTTAAATATAGTATTTAATATATTTGCACTTTGTGTGAAACGTTGTTCATTCTTATATGCTTGTTGATACCATTTTTTGCGTACAGCATTCCAATGTACTCTGTGTTCTCTTAATAACATTTCTCGTGATTTTAGAGTTTGTCCGTCCTGGAATATATTATGTATATATATTTATAAATTTACGATGTATTGGTTAAATCATCTTATAAAAATAGATAAAATAAGAAGATTTATTAACATAAATATCTTACATAATCTAAATTCAATTCCTCTTTTTCTCTAATTATTGGTGAGGGTATACGATTTCTAGGTATAGCTTCTTCACAAGGTAATGGAGGTGGCAAATAATAAACATCACGAACTTCTCCATTACTATCTAATATATTATTACTTATATTAACTTCATTTAATATCTCTGGACTCGGACTACGTATTCTAAACAAAAAAATACATAATTTTTTTTCATATTATTTTTTTTATCTTAAAATATATATAATAAATCATTAAAATAATTTCTTCTACAACATAATTAATGCTTATAATTATGTTAAAATTAGCATTAACTTTGTATTGGCATATTCTTTCTATTAAATATATATAGTAACACAATAGTTTATATTATATAAAAAATTTTTTAAAAATTCATTATAAATATTTATCTTTAAGATATATAATTAAATGTTCAAATAAAAATTATATTTTATATAACTTTTATATTTTTAATTATTTTGTAATATAATAATAAAAATTAATTACTTATTAAGGTAATCAAAAACTTTTATATGCCATTACAGAATTAACACATATGAAATAATATTAAAATTGAATATTAATAAAACTATTATATATATATAAAATGAATATATATAAAAATGAATAATATTTGAATATTTATAATTTTTTTATTGTTTTTTATTACTTACTTCGGAACAAGATTAGGATTTCTTGGTTGATTTGCCATCCATGCTCTACATATAGGATAAAGTGGTGTATCTTCTTGAAACTGTGCTAAATCAACACTTCTATCAAATAATTTCATTACATAAGTATGATGAAATGCAGTATCCATTTGCACTTGTCTACGACGTCTTACTTTACGTGGTTGTTGAAAACCCATTGATTTTGTTCTATATATGTTATCACTACATAAAAATTCATTATTTAATGATTTATAATAAATACATAAATGAAATAATGCATATTAAAAATTACATTTTTTTTATTTGATGTTTATAGTCTTGTGTAGAACTCTCTTCACTTGAATCTGCTGATGATCCTGTATCACTATGTTGTAATAATTCTCTAAGAGCTCCTTTTAAACGATCTCTTGCAACAAGTACATCGCTATCTCCTATAGAATAAAATATATTTTATTATTAATTATTACACACATTAATGTAATATTCTATTTATTACTAATGAAATTATGAAATATAAGTAAGTTTTTGTTACCTAATTCATCTTTTATTTCTACCTTTACACGACCGGGTATTGGCACAGATGGTTGTTGATTGTTTCTTTTTTTTCCCATCTAAATTATAAAACAATTAGCATATTTATATAAATTTTTAATATTCAATAATAACTTTTTAAATTTTTATAATATTATATATTATTTTATTACAAACCTTTCGCATTGATTTTAATTTATTTGTATATTAAATAATATAAATCATATTTCTTTTGGAGATAAAAATTATGTATAATTATTATTACCAAAGAAAGATAAATTATTACTTATTTATTTATTATATTTATTTATTATATTTATTTATTTATATATGTATCATTGAGAATTTGAAAGAATGAGGTTAGAATATTAAGTATAATTTAAATATATAATTTTATTTGATATCAATGAAAATTAAGTAATTTTTATTATATTTTCAACTTTATTTTTTTTTCCAATTTTTTCGAATAAAAGTTATATTATGTTAATTAGAACTAATAATTATTATAAAAACACAAATCAAACGATCTCCAATAATTTTATGCATTTAACGAACTCGATAATTTCCTTTTCAGAGGTAAAGTATACTTTATTATCAGTTAATTCAATATATTGATATATTTATATTAATAATATCATTGATATATTTTAATTTTCAAATTTTTATAATTTTATCCTTATTACATCTTATATTTTTATTTTAATTATTATTTTAGTTTGGTTATATATGTTTTTATAACACGTTTTAAATTTGTTTAAATTTTAAAAAAGATTTACAAGATATTGCAACAAAAAATAGAAATATGATTTTAATTAAGTTTATTGTTTTATATAAATATATGTTAAAAAAAATAAATAATAAATAATAGGAATAGTTGTATATTTTACAAATTTTTAGAATTTGAATTTAAATCATTTTAAATAATCATTTTAAATTTATATAAATTGACTGTTTTTTTAAAATAAATCTTTAAAAAAAGAATTTTCAACATGTGGAAATTTAATTTTTCAATAATATTGAATATTTTAAAGTGAATATAATTTTTATGTATATATAATATATTTTAGATTGTTGAAAACAAATAAAAAGATGCAGTGGTTATTAAATATTCAAATACTTTTAATTATTAATGCAATAAATGTAATATTCACATTTACACATAATTGTGTTTTGCATAATAAAGATTATAGATGTAAACTAGGAACAAAGACACCATATAGATTTATATCCAATTATAATGATTCTCCTCTTGAATATTCAGGTAATATTTAATTGAATATGATTAAAGTATTATTCTTTTTTTATTCTATTAATAACAAACTTTTATCAAAATTAAATTATAGGTTGTATTTCAAAAAAAATATGGTTGCTTTTAAGACATGGTACAAGATATCCTGGTAAAAAATATGCATCATCTATGATTGAGAATTTGCCAAAATTAAAAAAAATTATTCTAGATAACTATAAAGAAAACAAAACAAAATTTACAAAAGAGGAAGCAGTTTTATTTAAAGAATGGAAAATTAGTTTTAGCAAAGATAATATCATGAAATTAACAGAAGAAGGTGAAGATGAAATGATCGATATTGGAGAAAGATATCAATCCAGATTTCCTAATCTTATGCCAGAAATATATAATAATCAAACTTATAAGGTAAATAATAATATATATTTTTTATTTTTTAATATATTTTCTTAATTAAGAATTAATTTTAGTTTAAATACACTGCTACTCAACGCACAGAAGAAAGTGCTAAAAATTTTGTTATTGGTTTATTTGGAAGATACAATAGTCATCAAGTTCAGTATCCAAAAGCAGAACATAAGGATCCTATATTAAGAGTAATTTATAATTATGTAATTTAATAATTATATGATCTTCTATTATATGATGATTTTTTAAGTTTCTAGTTTTATAAACGTTGCGAACGTTGGCGTTCTGAAATTGACAAAAACCCAAATTCGCGCGTAGAAAAAGACAAATTTTTGAAAAGTGAAATTTATAAGAAAATGTTAGATGATGTTTCTACACGTATTGGTTATCAAATTAATCACGGTATGCGGAATATATTGCAATTGATTTTAAAACATGAAAAAAAAATATATCATAAAAAAAAATATTTATATTTCAGAAAATATATATTTAATGTATTTGATGTGTGGATTTGAAACAGCATGGAATAAAAATTTTGAATCACCATGGTGTAAAGTATTTTCATTGAATGATTTCAAGGTATATTTTTAAATTTGATTTAAATTTATTAAATTTATTGAATTTGTTAACTTTAACTATTAATTGATATTTTATTAGATACTTGAATTTGCTGATGATTTGGAATATTATTGGAATGATGGATATGGCTATAAATTATCTTATGAACAAGCATGTCCTGCTTTGAGAGATGTTTTTAATTTTTTTGCGTAAGAATAAATTTTCTCCGAAAATTGAAATATTTACGTTAAATATATTATTAAAATTTTATTTTAAATTTATAGGTCAGATGAAAGATTGTTGGTATCGGCGTATTTTACCCATTCAGGCACTATTTTAAAGTTGCTAACTTTATTAGGAGTTGCAAAAGATGATCAACATTTAACACACGATTTATTTTCGTTATATGCTGACGATAGAGCTTGGAGAACTGGGATTATTGATACTTTCGCATCTAATATTGCATTCATTTTATATAAGTAATTATTTACTTATATTTTATATATATAATTTAACTAATTATAATATATATAATATATTAATATAATATATATAATGTATTAATTATATATAATATTGTAATTTTTTTATTTTAGTTGTTCTGGAATTTCCAGTGTTCTTTTTATGCATCAGGAAAGACCATTATATTTACCAGGATGTCCTATAAATATACCATGTTCATTGTCCACTATGAAAGCACTTTATCCTGATCAAGAAGAGGAGTGTCAATTTGAAAGAATGTGTTCAATGAAGGAATCATCATAAAATAATGCAGAATTACGAGTTTAATTTTAAAAATTATATTATTACATGTTTTTATAAATTTCATTATATTGAAACAGAATAAAATGAGTGAATTGATTGTTTTTTTATTTTACAAAAAAATTAATTCATTACATTTCATGAAATTGTATTTTTATTTGTTTATATTCATTATTATCTTGTCAGAAAATCTTATAATTGTTTTTTTCAAAAACTTAATAAATTCAAATCGAAATTTTAATGAATTGTTAAATGAAAATCGTGATCAAAGAGAATTAAAACTTGTAAAATTAGCGTCACTTCTGAACATCTTTGAGATTGAAATAATGTAAGATAAGCAAATAGTAAGAAAAAAAAATAGAGACTAATAGCGCTATCTATTGAGTGAATCAAATATCTTTTTAAAAATAGGATAAAGTAGAGTAAGAATTGAGGATTAGCGCCATCTTTTGAATGCTTTTGGTAAGAAATATCTATTTTATACTCAAAAGATGGCGTTGATTTTCAATTCTTATTTTATTTTTATTATTTTTTTATTATTTTCTCTTTTCCTTCATTAGTTTCATTTGCGACATTCTGAAGATGGCGTTCCATGATTTCTATATTTTTATCTTATCTCTGTTTTCTTACCATCTATTATTATTATCTTTGTTTGACATCATGAAAATATTCGAATATCTCCTTGCTTATTCTACATCATATTTATAATATAATTTTTCTATTTCTTAAAATAAAAATTTCTTATTAGGGAGTATTTTATAATCAGTATCAATACAGTACAGATTCAAATGCAAATTCAAAACAGATGCAATGTAATATTATATTATAGATTTTATTTACATATATCATATAGTTGATAATTCTAATGAATTAATGATACTATCTATATTTGTTAGTATTCAATTTTAATTTTGATGTATGTAAATCGAATTATGATATTGAATTGATCGATGATCAATGTATTATTGCACTATATATTAATTTACCAAATTTAATTACGTCTATTGATATTTATCTGAACGATATATATCGTTATTTTCGAAATTCAAGTTTTCTTCGAGAATTTTTTTCGCAGTATTGGTATATCAATCGAATAAAATATACAATAAATAATAGAGAACGAGTAAAAATCTTATACATGCAGATTCTCAATATTTCACGAAATAATTATTCGAAAATTCGACAGTTTTATTGTCCGATAACAGGATAGTATCCTTCCACTTCGGATGCCCGCCCTTATCGTGTCTCGGGCATCGAATCGTGGCACGAATCGTACGCGAGTATAAATCTGACAGTCGTAGGAATCTATGAACAAAAGTGGAGCCACTTACATGCGCGTAAAGTCAAATTTATGGAGGGTGTGGGCATATAAATGCGCGACGTGCCATAAATTTAAATGTTGGACATGGTCGGAGCGAGATGGTGGAACTGGAGAAGAGAGAATGAGAAAGAGAAAGAGAGAGAGAGAAAGAGAGACGAAAGGAGAGATTTCAGAGTTCTCAAAGGTACTAACGATATTGTTTGGGGCATTCGTGGATTCACACGCGATGCATCCTCCTCAAATTCTCGAGAGGGAACAACAATTTATTTTGACGAAAATACTCTAAGGGTTAGTCGCAAATCATAGATGGAGCGTTTGCCATTGAATTTCTTTGTATATACGTTAAAATATTCGTTTATTTCCAACTTTGTTTTTTTCTATTTCTTTTGACGAAAAAATTAAGAAGAAATGGATATATATTATAATCTTTTCGATACTTTCTTCCATTGGATACTGTGCCACTTTTCTATTCGATCTTGTTTGTATCAATTTACGAATTTACGCCACGTTCTAACGTTGATAATAAGTGTAAAGACAAGATGATATGATATCGGTCAATTGTTATACTGTCCATATATAAAATTGATATTTCTCCAAAAATCAATAATCCAACGAAATTATAATATTTTTCTTTCTAAGTTTCCTTGGATTATATATAATATTCGCGTCACTGCGTCTAATTTCAATTTACCTCTGGCCAGGCGTTGCCTCGTTAACCGGATGCTCTCTGTCTCGGGATTAGCGTTTTTCCGGTGTTATAAGTAACCGGCGCCGATCGGGTTTCATGGAGAAACGGAAGTCGGTTGTAAGAGGATACTGGAAGTTGGAATTATCTCGTTGCTCTTGATCCTTTTTTCTTCCTTTATTTCCTTGGATAATATTCCTATGCTGTTGGACATTGTTATATATTAGAATAATAAATGTTTTTTTTTTATTTTTATGGATATTTTACTGATATAACGCTATTCATTTCAAAAACGATACCGGATATAATGTTTTAAATAATGATCGTAAAATTTGTTATTAATTTTTTCTTAACGATCAGAATGTTTGGAATGGAAATTCTAGAATCAAAAAACAAAATTATAGAAACGGGATAATAAATAATAATTTGATCCCATTTTTATCTATTTTCTTATGCAGCTATATAGCACAATTTTCAGATTTTTCTACATTTAAATTTACATTTCGAAGATCAAAAGTTACATCCTATACGTGTTATAATTTATTGTGTGTATTCGTGGAATATAAAACAAATATACAAAAATATTTATAATTGAACAAATGAATATCCCATAATCTAACATTTTTCGTATTTTTTCCAGGTATTTTTTTATGCCAGATTAAAACGAAACCCCATATATACATATATGGTATACCTGGCATTAAAGATAGCGGCGCTCAAAGTCCACCCCTAGAAGAGCTAAGGGAAAAAGAGAGCTTCACGATGAAGTGTAGATAAGAATGAAATATATTGGAAGGAGCTCCAGGGGCAGCTGTCTGGCGACGATTTTGCATTCGACAAGCTAAAAGATTCACTTCCAACGCAGCAGACCGTTCCCTTCGGTAGTTACCTGTTAAACGGGGAAAGTCGTGGGTGGGCATTTGCGGTTGAATTTTTCGAGCGAATATTTCCGGGTCGCCTGAAGGCTCGCCTTGAACGATAGGTAAGTGTTGACGTATCGAATGTTTCGCGTTATACACGTATATATGTATACATTATTTTTCAATGGAATCGATTGTCGTGGGACAGTACATTTTTCAAAATTTTCGCAGATTTTTCCCCCTTTCCTTGCGCGAATTATATTCGAAGGAGAGACGTGATTGGAGCACTGAAGAAATAATAAGAAATATAATGGCCAACGAACGATTATATTACAATTATTTCTTCGTTTTTCATTTATTCAATACGATTACTCTTTAAACTTTTTGATACATGATACTCGTTTAATTGATACGAATAATTATAAATATTACACGAACTATACATAAGAAAGAAAATTAAATATTGTGAAAAATTAAATCAATATATATATCGAACATTGAATTTCTTAACGATTCTAACAATTTCCTAATTATCATTATAAAAATACAAACGATTGATAATTTTCTCAATTATTCCCCGAGTATTAATTTTTGCAATATCCCTTAAAATGGACCAACGTAATCTTGCAACTAATGCACGTTCCGAGGATACAATTAAATAAGCCAACATTCGTTCGAGTATTGATCTTTCGTGGAATTTATCCTCCACGAAAATGGGTGAACGCCGGCTCTGAGGTGGTTCAACCCTTCGAAGTAAATGTTCCCCATTAGGCTGCGGCGGGCAAACGACGAAAGGAGGAAATCCTGCAACGATAAACTAGAGGCAGGATGAACCGGCTCGCGCACACTGCAGTTTAATGTTCGACGTTGCTACGTTGCAGAGCGACGCGTTGCTAAACTCTGTGTACCAAAGCGTGACGCGCGTTCTACATTAACATCGTTGCTCCTGTGACGCGAAGAATTCCATCTACCCCCTCCCCCTATCTCTTTGTAAAATTTAAGATCGATTATGAATATATTGACGAATAAATAATTCGTAATTTCGTAAGATTCTCAATATACTTGCCTCTCGTGAATAGAGTTAATTAAGGAAAGTAATCGCAATCGTAATTACGTTAAGAGTTAAAAAATTTTAGATCTTGTATTATTACATTATTTTTTTTAATCGTGTTAATGTTTGAAGTGATAATGGGCAGGTAAATTAATATAAAATTAATTAACGAGGATAAAAATAGTGGAAATAATTAAAAAATATGATTAAGATGAATAACGTAAAAATCCAATTATAAGTTAAAGTGGTGCAAAAAAATTACAGATATCAAGGATCATTATCACGTTATCAGTATCCAACGTATAGTCGTTGTTAACAAAGTTGACTGAACAAGATCAACGGCTTCATAACGTGAAGGAAACCGTACACAACACCTGCCTTTCATCATCGGCCATGCATAATCATGTACGCGTGTGATAAGAACGAGAGGGTGAATTTGTGGAGGGTCGGTGCGTTGAAAAGGCCTCGTGTCACGGGGGAGGGAGGAGGTGCCATCAGGAACGTTGGTTCATCTAGGAAGCCGACCCTTCAGAACGCTTTGTTAATGGCGCACCGTCAGAGATCATTAAAGCGATCGCAGCGCCGCGAGAATCACGGTGGAAATCGTGAAAACGACGGGCTGCGTTTTCACACTGCGTTGGCATTCTACCATTTCGGCCATTGTTAATGGTTAAACGCAACCGTCCCTGCGATAATTAAATGTAATGACGATCGTTGAATCCCCACGCACCCCCTGTATGCGTGTCTTAACCCTCTCGTGCAACCCGTCATGCAACTCGAGAATTATATATATATATATATATACGTATATACACTTGGGTATTTTTTAAATATCATGTTGAGACCGTTTTTTGTTATTCTTGAAAATGATCATTGTTCGAATTACTGTTGATCTACGAATTAGAATTTAATTACAATTTAATTAATAATTTTACCTTCATTAAGTATACTTTCGATCGATGCCTCGAGAAAATACTTCCCTCTTAGAAAATATTCGTTATAAGTTTATAAAATGAAAACGGGTGTCAAGAATTTAATCCTAGTCCTTTTAATTCCTCTAAAAATAAGATGTTTGTTACTCTTGCGACATAATTGTATCTACTACAACTTACTGCAACTTGCATCATTTTTTTAAAAAATTGATCCATAATATGGCTTCCCTTATAAATATAAGGCATACTTTTTTAGTATGCCGAGCCTCGAATAAGGGGTATGCATAAATTTCCCCGAGTAACGCAATTTCCCTACGTAACAAGTTGCTCGATCGGCAAGGTATTACAGGCTCGATCGGTAAAAATTGGAAGGGTATAGGAGTAACTAACCAGATTGGAGGATTAGCGAAAAGAAACAAGGGAGACGGAATACGGTCGAGACGGAGAATATACCCATAAGCCGGGGAGGGAGGGAGGCGACCATGCGTAAACGTCATCCTAGGCGCGGGGTTGGGAAGCGTGTTTAACTCCGTTCAGCCGTGTAATCGGATTGACTCGATGCACGTGCGATGCATTATGAATCTGAGGAGTCGATAGCTTCCCTCGAACGTCTTCGACGAACATTGTATGCAAATTTGGTTACATTCGAGCAAACTTGATTAACCCCCCTTAATAAAACGTACGAAGATCGATCTGTTATTATTATTTTTATTATTTTAATTACAAACAGATCGAGCGTGTTTGAAATTTGAATTCGGCTGAAAGTTCGGCAACTTTTTCGGAGATTTTATTGGTGAATCTGGTTAAAAAAAGAGCAAAAAAAACGCGTGTTAATCAATTGAATTTTTTCCCTTTTCCTCTTTCCCTTTTTAACGAAATAAATACGAAAATTGTAACAAGAGAAAAATTAAATAACGACAGGATTAATCGATAGCGAATTTTATTCGCGGATTTCTCGATGATGAAAATGATACGGAGCAAAATTGTTTTTGATCAATTGGAAGATATCGTGGTGTCGAGTGGATACTAATTTTAATGAAAAATATATTATATTTCTGATAATTGTTACGGAACTAACGAATAAAATGCCATCAATGAGGCATAGGAATAAAAGAATTGAGAAAATTGAATTATTGAAAAGTTAATCTATTTTATTTGTATGAGAATAATATATAAAACAATCTTAAGAGAGCTTAATCACAATAGATATTGTGCAGCCAATTTTTAATTATATAATTTTCGAGATCATATTTTATTTTCAGGCCATTTATTTAATGTATAAATACGTTAAATAAGTGAGTCATCAAACATATAATTATACGAATATCACACGCGATTAAAATAAGGAAAAGTATAAAAATAGAGAAGCAGAAGGAAAGGAAGGAAAATTAAATCGAGAAAAGTTAATTATAACAAGATTCTTTTCAGAATTCGTTGTACGTGTATACGCACGTGTATAAAAGTAATACGGAACATAGTTGATCTCTCGGTTATGAAAAATATCGTATATAATAGACATTTTAATTAAATTTTTCAGAATATAATTTATTTTCAGACCGTCGTTCACACTCTGTTGTTCGCCGGTCTAAAAACGAAGGCAGCTAGAAATCTGCGATGCAGCTAAAAATTCCGGGAGAGAACTTTCAATAACGTGATTATATAAAAGACGAGAAAAAATTTTCGATAACGAAAGGAATGTTTTTAATAAAAAGGACCGATCGTTTCACCGAAAATTCAAAAGTTCTTGATTTAATGTCGATGAGTCGATTGAGGAATTTTTGTTTACCAAAAATTTCTTATTAACAATAATAAAAAAAGATTTTTCGTTGAAATGTTTTTAAATAACAAATGACATTTTTTTTTCACGTATCGATTATTCGTATCGATTGAGGATATCTATCACGTCATCTTATTATACGAAAAATCTGAATAATTATCGAGTTATATTAAACGGAAGAGAGGAAATTTTTTTGTTAAAAAAATGTAGCTGAATTAAATTTTTAATAATTTTTTGAACGTAAAAATGATTTCAATGTAAAATGCATACACACATATGAAATACATATGAATTGTAGATACTTTTCGAATTATAAAAAAATTATTCCAATGATTGAATTGTATGTAAGCTTTTCAAAAAAAAAAAAAAAAAAAAAAAAAAAAAAAAGAAAGTTAAATGAAACTTTTAATATTTTATTAAAATATTGGTAGATAAATCAACAATACGTATGGAAAATACGCAACAACTTTATGGAAATACATGACACGTGTGGAATTAATGAAAATTTGTCAGAACGATCACCGAGTTATACTACTGTGTAAACGGAAATTTTATTGAAAATAAAGCCAAACGAAATTTTTAA